TTTTGGAGACGTGGAGAAAGAAAATGAAATTCTTGTGCTGGTTCCTCTTTAAAGGGCAACGTGGAAATGGTTGCCCAGGATGTTTGGTTTCAAGCAAATGGGAGTGACTCACGAAAATGGAAGGTTCTGAAAACAGGGGCTCTGGAGCAGCTTGGGAAGGTCAAAGGGCAGTAAATTCTCAAACCGGATGGTATTTCTCCAGGGCTTTGGGAAAGAAATTGCCTGAAGGGGCTGAGAATAAGGTTGAGAACACCCAGGACTTCTCTAAATGGCTTCCAAAGAATGGAAAGGCTCCACCATGGCCCTTCAGAAATAGTTGTTTGGGATCTGGGTGTTGGAAACCACTTTGTTTTCATGATGCAAGACAGGAGGCATCTTTCTTTGCCTGGCTTCGTCACGTGCTTAGAGCCAACCAGAAGGCTTAGAACGATCCATTTATCAAAAAAACCTGGTGTTTACTCCATGAAGCCCTTGGGGCTGGAGGAGTCAAGTGCAAAAAAACAACCTCGTGGACGGCTTCGAGTGTCCTGTGTTTTCCCTTGAGATAACTCCTCGCATTCTGCGCATACCCTGCGTGCCGGGCCGTGTCCAACCCGCCTGCTTCAAAGCAAAGCTGACATCTCTTCTCCTTCCTTGGTGAGGAGCTCTGGGCCTGAGGTAAAAAGCAGATTTGAGGCATTCCTCACCCAAAACAGGGAGCGCGTCACCCCCTGGTGGGTTTTTAGGAGATTCTGGGAAGCTTTGTCCATCGTTTCCCTCCGTAATCGCTGCAGCTACCCAAGTCCTCGTGTGGTCCTAGGAGCTTCCAGCCCAGATCTGCACCTACTGGGAGACTATGGACAACTCCATCTCCTTTGGGCTGGAATGGGCTGGGAAACACAGCACGAGGTGCTCAAGGTGCAGGAGATCTTCTGGGATGGGCCTATCCATCATGTATAAGGAGATGCTGATGCTTGATCCCACCCCAAAGCCAAATGGTTCAAAGCCAGGTCTCATTTGGATGCTCCATCCTCCCTGAGGAGCATTAAACGTTCACGTTAGAGCCGCTGATGTGTCCTCCAACCCCAGGAGCTCCACCTGGCTCCTATGTCCCCATCTTGCAGAGCCTGTTGTTAGCTCTGGGTTTGGGGTTTGTTTTGTTTTCTGGCTAATTGGGATAATTCATCACTTGTAAAGGTTGTCTTCCTGGAACGCAGCACTAGAGGAACCGCTGGCACCTGAACTTTATTTAACCCACCGAGGTGGAAAACCAGCAACTTCTTCTAAACATATATATTCTTAACCCTTGCCTGCCTTCGAGTTACGTGGGGTAGCACCACTCTGCTGCTTTGCTCTCTGGTTTTACAGACATATTCATGGACGGGAAGGCTGAGGGGAGACCTTATTGCTCTCTCCAACTCCCTGAAAGGAGGGTGTAGAGAGATGGGGGTCGGTCTCTTTTCTCAAGTCACAGGCGACAGGACAAGAGGAAATGGCCCACTTGTAAAGGCTGTCTTCCTGGAACACAGCACTAGAGGAACCGCTGGCACCTGAACTTTATTTAACCCACTGAGGTGGAAAACCAGCAACTTCTTCTAAATATATATATTCTTAACCCTTGCCTGCCTTCGAGTTACGTGGGGTAGCACCACTCTGCTGCTTTGCTCTCTGGTTTTACAGACATATTCATGGACGGGAAGGCTGAGGGGAGACCTTATTGCTCTCTACAACTCCCTGAAAGGAAGGTGTAGAGAGATGGGGGTCGGTCTCTTTTCTCAAGTCACAGGCGACAGGACAAGAGGAAATGGCCTCAAGTTGCCCCAGGGGAGGTTCAGGCTGGATATTAGGAAAAATTTTTTCACTGAAAGGGTTCTCAGGCATTGGAATGGGCTGCCCAGGGAGGTGGTTGAGGCCCCATCCCTGGAGGTGTTCAAAAGCCGGGTTGATGTAGTGCTGGGAGGGATGGTTTAGTGATGATGCTCCTTGTTTGTTGTGTGGGTGTCTATTTTTGTCAGTCAGGTTGACGGTTGGACAAGATGATCTTTAAGGTCCCTTCCAACCTAGAAGATTCGGTGATTCTGTGAAAAGGGGAGATGAGTCTTCTGCTCCTGGAGAACGTGGCAATGCTGGGGTTGGTGCTTGCTGAAGTCCCCGAGCCCCCCGAGGAGGTGGCCTTGGGGAGCGCTGGGCAACGGTGAATTACCGGAGGGCAGGTGCGAGAGCTGCTCTCGCCTCGCACGCTTAATTAAAGGCATCAATTTTGTGTTTTCTCCTGGCGCTTGCAGTTGGTGCAGGGGTTTAATAAGGATCTGAAAGCACCCGGGGGTGGGGGCAGGGATCTTCTGGGTTCAACCTCGTACCCTTTCTCCTCTTCTCCATCACCATCACCCGCTTCCCCTTCTGCCGCCGCTCGTCCCCTCTGTGGCAGAACCTGCCAAGTTGTGCCTTGTGGTTCTATTTTATTTTATTTTTTTTTTTAGTTTTGTGGCTAAACCTGCAGCGAGCAGGAGCAGCACTGGATCGCAGGGCTTTTGTTTGCAGCCTCAGATGGGGCTTTCTGGGCTGGAAGAACGTCGGGGAGCAGGTTTAAAACCCCAATTCCCCTTCCTTGTGCCTTCTCCAGGTGGTGGCAAAGCCCTGGAGGATGTAAGGAAGGGCTGGACACCCTTCGTGTAGCAGGACCTGGACCTGCAGAGTGGATGCCCCTTGAAATATGGGATGTGGGAGCTTCTCCTGCGAGAGAGGACCTCTCTCTCAGGTCAACCAAACCTCTTTGCTGGTTTGGTTGAGGCTGAGCAGCTGCAGCTCCCAACGCAGGCCCAAAACGAGGATTTTTAAAATACAGCTTGTCAAGGTGTAATGATAACATCTTGCCAGACTGAAAAAAAAAACAAACAAAACCAAAACCCCAGCTTGCTTAACTCGTAGCTCTCTTGTTTTAGGTGCTCTGACCCCGGGGAGTCTGTGTTTGGTTCCCTTTCCTTCTGAATGTTGCTCACATTTAGAGAGAGACATCAAAAGTTTGGACTCCCCAGGGTTTGTGCTGCTTTGTCAGATGAATCCTCTCCCCTGAGCCTTGAGCCAGATGTTGGATCTCACAACCCGACGTCCTGTTACCTCCTGGATGAATTACCTGCTCCTCTTCCTCCCTCACCCTCCCAGTTTAGGAACAAAATCCCTGCTGAGTGGAGATTGTCCGTAAAATCAGGGAAATAACGGTGATTTCTGTGTGCCTGGAGGTGGCATCTCCTGCAACAATAATATCACTTGATCCTCCAAGATCAACCTTCCTGAGAAGAACTGCCTTTATGGCTGGGGCTGGAGGGGGAGCAGGGCAAGTTAATTTAATAAATCCCTCCTCCCAGGGCATCTGTGTGTAAAAATAGACGTAAAACTGTGCAGAGCAGCTTATTTTCGTGGGGTGAAGGTGCTCTTGGCCTGGGGGAGGTATCACAGCTCTGGGCTAATCTCTCCTGTGTTCCTTTTAAACATCTTTTCTCCTGGCTCTGGGGAAAGTTGTTCCTGTTTCTTGCTCGGGGGACCTGGGCTTGATGACAGGAGAAATGTTGACGAATTTCCTAAGCTTCCTGGGCCTTGGTTTCCACTCTGCTGCTCAAATTTATCTCACTTAGGTCTTGCTGAGCTCCAACCACGTGCTCCCACCAGCTCCGTGGCACCAGCCCTGGTGTGGGTCGGACTCTTGTAAGAATATTCAGTGGCCGGAGAGGGGCTGGGATGGTGTGGGAAGGGTAGGACTTTCCTCCTAACCTCCAAAAAGCTCCCCAGAAACCAAAAGCTTGGGTTTTACTCCAGGTGAACTTGGCCATCTGACCACCGACCTTCTCTTCTCACCTCTCTTGGGCTGTAGCTTCTTCACCCCTTCTTTTGCCTCCCTTTGCTGTGGCTGGAAGCCCTTGGGGTGGGCTCACTTGCTTCTCCATCGCGAAAGTCCAGCAGGGAGGTGGTCCCAGGTATCTTCTGGGCAGAAAAAATGACAATATTCAGCTGTTGTTGATAAAAATGCCCTCTTTTGTGTTTGTGTGTGGGTTCTCTGCGTCCTCCACAGCAGCAGAACAGTCACCCTCATCGCTGCTGAAGGCTTTGCTGGCTGCTGGGGTGGGACCATCACCGGGCAGCAAGTGCTTTGCTTCCTATTTCAACTGATTAAACCCATCGATGGTGTTAAATGAGTTTAATCTGCTTAATTGGCCCCGCAGGCTTGTGTACTGGTATATTGATCCAACCAGTGAACCATCCGGCGTTGTACGCGTGTGTAAGCGGCTGGAGATGGGATGGGGTCCCACGAGGTCCATTTTCAGGGCTCTGGGTTTGGAAATGCCTCTGCTTGAAGCTGGTGGGGTTTGACCTCGGGGAGGAGTTGGTTTGGGGGAGCAAGAGAACTGAGGTTGTCTAATGGGTTGGTCCATTTGGGGCCCAAATTGTTCAGGAGAGGTGTAAAAAGAGCCTTGAAAAGGGCTGGAATTAGCGTCTGAATATCGGGGTGGTGTGTGCATGGGGGAGAGGGCTTCTGCTGGCTCTTGAGCTCTCCTGGAGGTTGGTGAAGGGATGGATGAACCTCTGGGTGTCACTGTCCCCATCACCACCACCCATTTGCTCAGGAACCTGAATTTGCACCACATGCACCCCTCTTTGAAGCACCTCTGGTGACTTGGTAACCACCTTGTACCCTGAATACTCTTATTCCTCCCTGTCCTTCCCTCGTATCCTCCTGAGATAATTTTTTTCCCTGATTGTGGATCTTCTCTGGTGTTTCTGTCCTGAGTTTCTCACTGGGTTGAGACCTAAAAGGGAGCTGGGCTGAAGTTCAGAGCTTTGCAAGGGGTCCGTTCCTTTATCCTGCTGAGCTTCTGGTTGACCCTATCTTTTCTGGCTTCTCTGGGTCACTGGTGGCCCTTGGCCAGTGCCTGCAGCCAGTGATGTGCCCTTCCCTAGTGACACCCCACGGTCCAGTGTGACATGGATGTGTCTCACCCCTCTGTGCTCTTCTCCTTCCTCTCCAGGGAGCTCAAGCTGCGAAACTACGAGCCTGAAGATGAGGAGCTGAAGAAGAGGAAGGTGCCCCAGGCCAAGCCAGCCTCAGGTGGGTGCAAGCCAGAGCGTGGTGGGTTGGAACTAGATGATCTTGAAGGTCCCTTCCAGCCCAGACCATTCTTTGATTCTATGAAATGAGGCAGCTTGAAAGCAGAAGCTTTGCCCTTGGTGGTGCTGGTGTCTGCAGGGAGGGAACAAAGCAGGACTTGGTGGTTGTGAGGACAAATAAACTGGTACAGGACTCTGCATCATAGAATGGTTTGGGTTGGAAAGGACCTTAAAGATCATCAAGTTCCACCCCCCTGCCCTGGGCAGGGACACCTCCCACCAGCCCACGTTGCTCCAAACCCCCTCCAACCTGCCCTTGAACCCCTCCAGGGATGGGGCAGCCACAGCTTCTCTGGCCAACCTGGGCCAGGCTCTCACCACCCTCACACCAAAGAACTTCTTCCCCACAGCTCAGCTCCATCTCCCCTCTTGCAGGGTCAAACCCTTCCCCCTCCTCCTGTGGCTCCCCTCCCTCATCCAGAGTCCCTCCCCAGCTTTCCTGGAGCCCCTTGAGGGACTGGAAGGGGCTCCAAGGTCTCCCTGGAGCCTTCTCTTCTCCAGGCTGAACCCCCCCAACTCTCTCAGCCTGTCTTCTTCCTGGTTTAGTGGGAGGTGTCCCTGCCCATGCTTCTTCCTGATTTAGTGGGAGGTGTCCCTGCCCATGGACAAGTGGGATGTGTTTTGATGGGGTGGGAGGGTGGTAGGTCCTGGGAGATGAGTGTCTGTAGCCCTGGAGGGTGCTGGCGTGGCTGAGCGGCCGTGGTGGGAGCTGGGTGAGGGTGATGCTCCTCGGCCCCGTTGCATCATCATCCTCTCTCGCCTGTGGGACCTGCACACCCTGCGTTGCACAAGCGGGTGTGTGTGTGTCAGCACCCCGAGCCCGGCCCCAAACCCAAGGGCTGACACTCAGAGGAGCAGAGCTCTTGCTGGAGGATTCTCAAGGAGATTCAGGCTGGGTTTTGGGTTGTTTTTTTGTTTTGTTTTTTTTTTTTTTGTTTGAATTACCTTTAAACAAATCTTAGTCGTGAGTCCAAGGGCGTTCAGTCTGTGATTTCCTTGCACTGAACCCTCCGCGCAGCTCTTGAGAGGGAGGCAGAGGGTAGAAGTTCCCCTTGATCTTGAAATACTGAGTCCTCCTGGAATAAATCTCTTCAAAAATGCCCTAAATAACAAGGCTGCCTTTGGGAGATGTGGGAGGTGGGAATGCTGACGCCGCGCTTTCTTTATCCTTTTATACAAGTGGAAAACTTTCCCTGACTCTTCCCTAGAGCGCGGTTTTGGAATTGGGGATGGCAATTTTGACCTTTCCTAGTAAAAGCCTCACTCTCTGCCAGCCTTTCTTGGGAGCTGTGGTGCCCATCAGCTGTGGATCCTGTGCAGAGGCTGGGGATGGAGGAGAACAGAGCAATTAGGACTTGGAAATGGATTAATATTAAATGTACCTTGGGCATATCTGTTCGCCGGAGCAGGATTCATCCTTTGGGCATGTTCTCCCTGGTGCCCTCACCCCCCTCCTTGCACAGATGCCCCAGGTGAAGGATGGAGGGCTGGTTTCCACACCATTATCCCCAGTATCTCCAGACCTTTACGTAAGGTGTGGGCTGGAGCTTGACTCCTCCAAGGTGTCTCAAGCTTCGGCCTCGTAAATGAGTCACCCTGAGTCAAATTCCAGTTTAAACACCTGAGGAGCAGCTGATCCCTGCGGGTCTTGTGAAAAGAGGACTTGAACCCAGCAGAATTCTTGCTGTTTGTGGTGTTTAGTGGTTGTGGGGTTTGCATCATCTTTAGGAGTCTCCGAAAGGGTGGAGGGACCTGTGTACCCACCTGTACTCATCATTACCCCACTCTTAAAGCAAAGAGGTTTTTATAAAAACTTTTGTGAGCCAAGCCCAGACCTCTGGTGGGTTGGTTTCCCCTTTGGTGTCTTCCTTCTGCTTCCTGTGCTGATGCTGGTCCTGTTCCCCCATCTAGTGGAAGACAAGGTGAAGGACCAGCTGGAGGCTGCCAAGCCAGAGCCCATCATCGACGAGGTGGTACGTATTAGTCAGAACCTCGCTCTGTGGGCGCATCTTATCTGTGTCCAGGCTTGAACTTCACCTGAAGTTCTCACTTGGGTGTCTCTTCTTTCTCCCCTAGGATCTGGCAAACCTGGCCCCCAGGAAACCAGACTGGTGAGTGCCTGCAGAACCCTGGGAAAAGGGGTATTGGCATCAGCGGGTGGGCTACCAACACCTCAAGATTGGGTTAAAAGTGCTAGAAATGGGGAAACCCCGCCCTGCTGTTGAGGGAGACACGAGGCATGGGGCTGCCCTCCCTCTTCCTGCTCACACTGAGTCTCCACTGATCCCTTTGGGGGGTGTTTGTCACCACGGTGGCCTCAGTGACAAGGGATGTTCTGGGAGTTGGGTTGGTTTTTCCATGGGTTGCCTTGGTGGGAGACACAGACTCTGCTCCGTGGTGCTTGTAGGGGAGAGAAGGAGCTTCTCTTCCACTGGGAAAGGCGTAACGTGGCCCCTCTGTCCACATTTGCCTGGGGCGAAGATTTATTTGGACATTGTTGCTCTCCTCCCCAGGGATCTGAAGCGAGATGTGGCCAAGAAACTGGAGAAGCTGGAGAAGAGGACGCAGAGAGCCATCGCTGAGTTGATCCGTGCGTTGTGGTGCTGCAGGGATGGTGTTACAGGCTCACCAGTTGTTCCAGAAGGATTATGTGATCCTTACTGGGAGCTCGGTGCCTTGCTGTTGGGCCAGGGAGGGACTGGTGGAGCTTCATCCCCTTCCTAAAAGGGTCTCCAAAGCTGTTGGTCCCAAGTAGCTTCCCCGAGGCCGCACGCTTGGTTTGCGCGGTGGAGAAGGATGGTTTGTGGGCTTGGGGTTGCACTTCAGGTCCTCTGCCATGTGGGTTCCCCAGTACGGCCAGTTTATTGGCTGTTTCTTGCTTGCAGGAGAGCGGTTGAAAGGGCAGGAGGAGGAGCTGGCATCTGCTGTGGGGTCAGCAAAGCAGGAGGGAAGCGACTCCGACTGAGGAGGTCCATCTGGCAGCCTCTTGGTGGGCTCTGTGGATCTCCTCATCCCATCGCTCTCAGGTGGAGGCACCTCCTTGGGCCACGTTGCTCGCTGACACTTTGCCAGAAGCCCACGGATCCCACCATGCCTGAAGGAGAGGAGAAGATCCAAGGAGCCCTGCTGTCCTCTCTCTTGGACTGTGGCTGTTTTCCTCCCTTGAGGAACACTTCACAGATCGCTTTTTGGAACCACGGGGTGGGGCTGATGGGAGCAGGACACAACATCCACGTTAACTTGAACCTGGGCTGCCAGGACTTGGAGCAAAAGGGCTGGTGCCAGAGAAGGTAAATTAAATCTAACTCTCCTCTCACTTGCTGGGTGAGGAAGAAGATGCCCAAGAAGCCTCCAGCAGCCCTTCAAGAGGCTCTGCCCACTTCCCCAAGGGACCCACGCTCAGAGATGCCTTTCTCAAAGTGTTCCTTTCTGCAGAAGAGCTGCTCTAACTGTCATGTGGGCAACAAGGAGGTCTCTCACTCTGGCTTTGAGTCTTTGAGAACATCCATGGTCAGATCCAGTGCAGGATAATTCTGCTGGAAGGGACTTTGTGGCTCAGGAACCTGTGTCCAGGTGAGGTTGACGTGGGGTTTAATTCTGCTCCCTGAAGTTTCTCTGTGCAGCGTGTACCGCTCCTCTGTACGTTTTATAATTAACAAAGTTTGTTGTTAACAAATCTTTTTTGTAATAAAACAGTCCCGTGGTGGAAGAAGTTTTCGCTGGTTCTGCAGAGGGCTGCGTGGAGGCACCTCATTTCACATCTGTGGGGACTTCACCCCACTCTTGCCTGGTCCCTGTCCCCTTTCCTTCCCCGGGACAGGGAGGAATGATCTTCAGCTCCTCTAAGTTTGAGGTGGCCGAGCTGTAGGTACAGCAGGTCAAGCACAACTGGACCCAGCAACCTTGGGTGGACGCCAACTGGAAGAAGTGAGGGGGTGGAAACCCAGAGTTGACCCTGGAATCTTCTCTAGGTCTTGAAGATCTTACAGGATGGGTGTTTTTGGCCCAGGTTTGGTTGCTCGGGCTCCTGAATCTTCTGTGTTGCATTTGGAAGTGTTTATGTCCCGAGGTGAAACATCTGGTGTGTAGGGCTTTGAGAGGAGTGTTTACAGAAGAGTTCACCTGGGATAAAAATAGCTGTTCTTGTCAACATCTGCATCCTGCTGCTTTTAAAAGCCTGTTGAAAAAGACCTGTCGGGGGCCTCAGATTGTCACCAGGTCCCTCGAGCAGGACAAGATTGATCCCAGCTGTGCTAAATACAGCCTGATAGATGCTTGTCCCTCTGCTGGGATCTGCTGTGACTGCCCACCGCAGCGTGGTGAGGACATCTGAGGGGCTTTCCACCTGCAGAAACACCATCCCTGCTTCCAGATATGGAGCACAGAGCCAAGATCTGATGAAACACCTTCTGGTTCCTCCAGCTTCCAGCCACAAATGGCTGCTTAAAGTCCTCCAGCCCCCATTGTGTGTCCCCTCTCCTTCCTGGGGGGTCATTTTGGGGCTATTTTTATTGTTTTGCCCTATTTTTCTCTAGGCAGGAGGCGGCCTAGTGTCTTCTTGTTGTGTCCCCCTGTGGAGCTGTGGTCTCTGTGAAACATCCTGTAGATGTCAGCAAATCTCCACGCACAAAACCCAGCCAGTCCCAGCAGCTGGACTCTGTGCAAAGCAGAGATTGGTGGCCCCGAGGTCCCTTCCAACCTGAATTGTTCTATCATTTTGGGATAAATTCCCCTTTAAGCTGCTCCAGGTTCCACTTCCCAGATCAAACCTGGCAGCAGAAGCTCCGTTCTCACTGTGGCCCTGCCAGACCTCTCCGTCCTGTGTGGGCTGATGTTTTTTGAGCTCATTTCCAGTCTTTAACCCCCTCCTAAAAAAATCTAAACAATTCAAACCCTCTTTTCTCATGCGAGGAAAACTTCTCCAAAGGTTCCTTTTTCACTCTTTCAGCTCTTTGTGAAAATACCATTTGGAGATGAAAAATCAAAACGTTCTCTTTTAGGACAGGCCAAAAATGCAGCATCCTGACTTTGCCCTTTCCCACCTGCTTTCCGCTTTTATTCCAGCTTCAAATTAAGCTGGGACCTACCTGAGCTTGGAGATCCAGCTGGGAAGGGGGAGAAGGTTGTTGCCAGCCAGATGATGGGGTCCACAGCTGTGGGACCTGCTGCTGGAGCCTCCCATCTTCCTGATTTTTGGGAGCATCCCTGTATCCGTGCTGCCGGCTCAGCACTGACCCAGGCTTCTGCCTGGAAAACACCTGCCCAGAGTCTTATTTCCTTTTCTTTGCTGAGGAGACAGGTTCTTCTCCCTCTTTCTAATATATCCATAATTTTATAAACCTTTAAAGTATCGTTTTCCAGCCCCGAAGGGTGCCCTGCTGCTTTGGTTCCCCATGGAGTTTCCAAAACTGAGCGTGGACATCCCATTCCTGGCCTCATCCCCCAGAGCGGAGCCATCCTTGCAGGACACGAGGGGCTGGGGATCCACCTGGAGTGGGATGGGGACAGCCCTAGGAGGAGGGGGAAGGATTTGACCCTGAAAGAGGGGAGATGGAGCTGAGATGTGGGGAAGAACTTGTTTGGTGGGAGGGTGGTGAGAGCCTGGCCCAGGTTGGCCAGAGAAGCTGTGGCTGCCCCATCTCTGGAGGGGTTCAAGGCCAGGTTGGAGGGGGCTTGGAGCAACCTGGTCCGGTGGGAGGTGTTCCTGCCCAGGGCAGGGGGATGGAACTTGATGATCTTTAAGGTGCCTTCATACCCAAATCATTCTATGATTCCCATGGAACGCAGACCTGTGATGTGAGTCTGGAGACTGGCACGTCCTCTGAGACCAACCACTTTGCATCTTCTTTCACAGCACACACCAAACCCTGCCAAACTCATTAATATTGACCTAATATCTCCAGAGAGTGACCACACTGTGGCTTGACCACCCTTGCAACATGTCCTGCTGCGGGACCTACCCTTTTCTGCAGAGAGTGACCTAGAAAGGTCACCCAACCACCTAGGACAAGAGGAAATGGGCACAAACTTGAATATAAGAAGTTCCACCTAAACATGAGGAGAAACTTGTTTGCTGTGAGGGTGGCAGAGCCCTGGAAGAGGCTGCACAGGGAGGTGGTGGAGTCTCCTTCTCTGGAGACATCCCAAACCCACCTGGACACGTTCCTGTGGACCTGCTCTGGGTGGACCTGCTCTGGCAGGGGGTTGGAGGAGATGATCTCCAGAGGTCCCTTCCAACCCCATGTGATTCTGGAGGACCTCACGGAGCAGAACTGTAGGTTTGGTGTGAGAATTTACCCTCAAAGTGCTTGTGGCTTGTGGGCCGTTTCAGATGTCCCATTTCTGCCCCGTTCTTTCAGCACGAGCCCGTTTCCAAATAAGCTGTGAATATTTTACGGGCAAATTTTCAAGCGAGCCTGGGATTCCTTCGAAGAGCAGCCCTTCAGGACTAAATAATAGAAGTGGGGTAGGAAACGGGGTTGTGTTTTTTTTTTTTTTTTCTTTTCTGTTTTGTGGGAAATTTCAGGATTTCGGATTCTTTTCTCCAAACCAAACCAAATTTGAAGCTCTCCGCAAGATGAAGTAAAATTAAAAAATCATGTTGGGCCAATCAAAACGCCATTTGGAAGCCGAGATGCGGACGCTGTGATTTGCTAATGCCATAAGTCAGCTCTATTTTGGTTTTTTGTTTTTGTTTTTTTTTTCCAGGAGCTATTCAGGGTCTCCTGGGACATGCTTTTCCCAGTGCTGGGAATAAACTGGTCTGTGGTGGATCCACCACCGTCAGCTTTGGTTGGAAGGACTCTGGGTGGTGGTGCTGATGCTCCTGGGGGAATTAGCTCACCCGTCCCTGCTTGGTGCTCTCATCTCCCTTCAATCTTCACTAACCTTGGAGGCCAAATCCAAGACTGCAGATCCTCCTTGGAGGGTTCAAGCAATATTTGCTCCTCACCTCTACTGGTGGAAGTGGTGGTGGGGCTTGAGAACCTGGCGTTTCTTGGGTTACACAAAACCCTGAAGAACTGGCATGAATCCCACCATCCCAGTCCCACCAGGACTGGGCATCTTGGTGCACCTATTTGGACACGAGAGCGTTGGATGGAGATGGATCAGCCAGATGCTTGTCCCAGGTGACCACCAGCTTCTGCTGTGAGTTGAGGGAGACCTTTTTTTTTTCAGGTTGTGCATGTGGTGACATGCAAATTTGAGGTCCAGTGCTGCTTCTGATAGACGTGTGGCCGTACGTCCTCCAGCCCTGGTGGGTGACCACACCAGAGGAACCATCTGGCCGAGGCCTCGGGGTGATGTCCAGTGTTGTCCCACTGATGTCCAGGAAGGGTGAGGGGGTCCTGGGTGCTGAGTGACTTGGGGAATTCCTTGTCCACGGTGATGGGGAGATCATCTGACAACCTGGGCCGGGGTTTTACTGGGGGTGGTCATTTTAGCAGAAGCAGAAGAGCATCAATGCTCCCCTGGTGCTGGCTGGCTCCTTGCCCTTGTCACTTGCTTTCTGTTTGACTTGCAGAAGGCTTTTCATCTTTACAGCTCATGAAATAGCAGAAAAAAAAAATATATTAATGTTTTTCCAAGTCTGCTTATTTGTCTTGGAAGTAATATTTCTGGTTCCTCCATCAGTGAGGAGCTCTACACCCCTCTGACTAAGGGT